ACAATTCTTACCTAGTCAGCATAATCTGCATTTACAACCTAAATCTCAAGTCTTACATCCAACTCAAACCCAAAAACCATCAAACTTCACAGGTAAAGGATGTACCTTTCCAACCCCAAAAGGCCAGAGGGTGAATTCAATAGCAACTCAAGAACCCACTTCCAAAAAGATAACCCACAAACAGAAACTAAATCAAGAAAGGCTCGTTGTTTTCTACCAACAAACCCAACACCACATATGTTACCAACAAGCTCATTTTATCTATTCGCCGTAAGAATAATGCTCTCTAAAACACCACGATTGTATTATAGGTACAGAACACATACCGCAAATTTCATGCGAGCAGGGAACGTACGCCATATTTCAGGAGGCAGTTCAGAGCCAAAAATCTCAGCCGTCCCGTTCACCACACGGAGTCTGAGAGGCTCTTCAGAGACTTCGATCCTGAGCTCGCTTTCTCTCTCCAATTTCACTTGCTTCAGATTAGCAGACCCGGAAACTGGGCCACTTAAAGCCGGTGGATTCATTGGACCACCGTAAGCCATTGCTTTCACTCAGGGTAAGATATAATTGTAGACTATCACTCAGAGTAAAGGGAGCTCTCTTTAGTCATTACACTTGCGCTTGTAATTGCTCTTCTCCTTCAACCTATGGCAAAAGTATAATCAAGTTGATAGCTTCAAGGATTTGGAAGAGTGTAAAAAAGGAAAACAGAGAAGAAAGATGCAGACTTTACTTGATTTTAAACACACCCAATCTTGACCCCGGAAGGAATCATAAAGCGCAACATAGATCAACTTCAAACAACCAATGTATCAAAAATCATCATTAGAGAGAGCTATAGAACAGCAACAGAGAACGAAAGTATCTAAAAACGAGAGCCATCGATTTCCGTACCCAGAAATCGAAAAAGAGAGAGCGAGAGAGTGAGAAAAAGACGAATTACCAAAAAGGGTCAATGGAGAGAAGACTGACGGCGACAAAGATTGAACAGCGAAACAAATTACGATTCTACGGGGAGGAGAGAAGGAGGAGGTCGGAGATTCGCGAAAGTGTGCTCGAGGAGAAACAGAGTCAAAAACAAAAAAAAAAAAAAAGAACTGGAAAAGACTTACGAAAGTCGAAACCATATACTTAGGGTTATATCGCTTTAATTTCCATTTTTCCGATAAGGGCAAAATTGGAAATCGAATCAATCCCGGTTTGAGCCGTTAACCGACCCGAACAACATTTCCCATTTTTATTAGAATCCCTCCACAGTTTTCCGGTTAACATGATAATTTGTTTTTAGCTTAAGCTCCTTTATAATAAACTCATGAAAATATAACATGGTCTCATCCGACAAAAATTTACCATAGAAAAATTCTAACTACAAAGTATTGTTGATTACATGTAATATCACAAAGGGATATAATCTTACAAATGTTTTGATTAATTATTTTATAAAATGCCACTCAATATTAATGAAATCTTCTTCAGATTCTTTAATATCCAGATTCCTTTTTTAATCCTGTCAATTACACAAAAACAAAACAAAATTAAGATTTTAACACCAAAATTAAGAAAGAGAGAGAGAGAAAACGGTTTACATAAGTGTTGTGAAATTACCTTATCGTCCTTTGGGATTTACAATTTGAGAGAATATCTCGGTGTTATCCTCCGACGAAAGATCACTCACGTCATCTCTACCGGCGACGTTAACCGCCATGCCTCCTCCGCCAAGATCCTCGGAGCTTCCTCCACTATTAGGAGTCCGATGACGAGTCCCATCAGCAGTTTCTTGAAGCTGAAGCGCGAATTCAAGATTCCACAAAACATCTCCCATTGTCGGCCGTTCTAATCCACTATCGTTAAGACACTTCTCCGCCGTGTCTGCAAATTTCTTCAAACACTCTGAATTGATCTTCCCTTTCAGATTTGGATCGATTATATCCTCTAAATTCCCTTTTCGTTTGCAATTCATTGCCCAATCTCCGAGACTCACTTGTTCCTTAGGCAAACTTGGGTTTAACGCTGGTCTTGCGCATAGGATTTCGAATAGAACAACTCCGAATGAGTACACATCTGATTTCTCAGTCAGTTGTTGTCTTCTAAAGTATTCTGGATCTAAATATCCGAAACTTCCTTTGACAACGGTTGTTACATGGCCTCCATTCATGTTTGGTCCAGTTTTGGATAACCCAAAGTCTGAAACTTTCGCTACCCAGTTCTCATCTACAAGGATGTTAGTTGTTTTTACGTCTCTGTGTATAATCGTGTACTTTGCTCCTGTGTGAAGGTAATGTAGTCCTCTTGCAGCTCCAATAGCGATCTCTAGCCTTCGTTTCCAAGTTAATTGTGGTTTCTTTGTGTTGTATAGATGTTCACGGAGTGTTCCAAAAGCCATGTAATCGTATATGAGACACATTTCGCCTCCGTCGTCGCAGTATCCTATCAAGGAGACCAAGTGTTTGTGTCTTAATCTTGAGAGAAGTTCGATTTCTGTCTCGAATTCGTTGAGTCCTTGTTCTGAATTTGGGTTTGATCGTTTGACCGCCACTTTGGTTGTGCCGTCTATAACTCCTTTGTAGACTTTCCCAAACCCTCCAACTCCAATGACGTTGGAATCATCGAAGTTTTGAGTTCCGTGCTTGATTTCAGGCAAAGAGAATCTACGACATAAACCTGCTGCAAGATTGGATAGGTGACTTCCATTGTTGCTCTTCCCTGAGATGGTTGATTTAGTTCCTGATGTGGTAGAGTTTCCATATATAGGAAGCCAACTTGATGTGTGAGAGTCGCCTCCTTGGTATCCATGTTTCTTCTTATAGGCCGTAAAACACAAGGCACAGACTAAAACCGCTAAAACTCCTCCGGCCGAGCCAATGATGAAAGCGTTTCTCTTTTCGTTCTTGAATTCCTTTTTAACCTCTCCCTCAGCTTGCATAGGCGATGGCTCGGGGTTTGGACCCGCAAGATTTTTCAATGTGTCCATCTTGAAAATCTCTAGCCCGTTAAGAGACGAATCATAATATTCTGGTTCACCAAAAACTGATGGAGTCATCTGAAGTGTAATCTCTTCGCCTCCATTGTTAGCATCAACATATATCGCGTAGTCTTTGTATGTTGGGATTCCTTTCTCTCCTGTCCACCCGAGTATATCTGCAGGATTGGTATCTGCTTGCGCTGTTCTGTTATTAATGTAGATATTGAAAACCTTCTGGTTGATCTTGGAAAGCTGGAATTCGCAGAAATGGAGTCTCAAAATGTAAGTGAAGTTCTTATCTATTTGGAACATCCATGTAAGATTGGATTTGAGGTTGATATCTCCGTTCGGGCCTTGAGATCTTGCGGTTTTGTATACATCGGCTGGAGCTATAGACACCGGCATTTTCTGGTAGTTGATCCTAAAATTGTTGCTTGCTTGAAGTGTAACACCAAGACCCGCACTAAAGATGTAAGGTGCATCATTGTACCAAGTTCTTGTCAACCCACCAGAGTCTTGGCTTCCAGGAATGTCCTGACCACCAACATTAAGCCTAAACATTGACTGAAAATTCGCGGTCTTGGCATCCACTGTTTGATCTGTGAAACCAACAAGAGCCGCCGTATCAAACAATTCCGGCATCTGAATCACCTCAATACCGTTTATAAAGGCAAATGTGTCTCGGTATTTATCTGATGGGGTAAACGTGATGCTCAAAACATCTTTTTCGATGGGTGCAAGAGAGTATTCTTTAACCAAATAAGCTTGTGTCAAAGCTTGACACGTAATCGCGGCGCTGAAATTGCTCAGTAGGGTAACATCGTTAGCTTGCACATTGAAATACGAGTTGGAAATGTTGAGACCGGTGTATGTCGATGGGTAGAAATATAACCGAAGCAAATGTCTTTTATCTCCTTTAATCGGAATTTCATAAGTTGCTGGAGCTGTAAAGATTCTTGCTGTCATATAAGGAATTGTTGAGAGAAGTGAAGGATCTTGATATGTAGCTGTTGCATGAATTGAGTTTCCCGTCTTCAAAAACTTTGTATCTGGTTCCCATTTTTTCTTATCTTGGTCAGCAGAAGCTTCCGATGCCCCGCAGCTCAGAGCAAAATCTTGGCCATTAGATCTAGTTGGAAAAGCCAACAAAATGGAGAGACATGAGAGGAAAAAGAGAATCCGAGTTTTCCCGTTCATGGCTGACACATCAACGGGTAGAAACTCTCGGCCTAAAGAAAAGAAAAAGAGAGAAAAGCTTTCTTCTTTTGCAAGAATTAAGATCGAGAAGGTTGTCACTTTTACGCCTTTAGACAAAATTTCTCTCTAACCTAACCAGATAAACCCAGGACTTGCATGGATGAACAAGACGCAAATACCATGCAAGACATAAATCACAAGGTACACTCTTTTTTCTTTTCTATTTCTCGTTTTGTCTAGTTTGTTTTCTCTCTAATTATGAGGTTACTGGTGTTTTTTCTCATTTTTCGTTGTTCTGTCTGAAAATGAAACAAAATTAGTTAGAAAAATCCATGGCGGAGAGGATTACCCGAACAAGCTATGTTTAGCATAAAGTTAGAGAAATTAAAAAGACTTTTTGCTTTGACTACAACATGAATTCATGTTATCTAAATATAGGAAGTCTTAAACCATATTGTTTCAAACATTATTACAAGCTTTTGAAAATTTGACTTGAACGAGATAGACTACGATGACTTTTGAAAATCTTTTCTTAGAATGGTCAAGGTCTCAAGGATCTAAACAAAGAAAGTCCCTAAAGATCTGGATGAATCAATCATCAATTTTAAGAAATGGTGGAAAATAGCTTTTTGACCTTTATCCATTACAGAGATCAATGGTGGAAACTATTTTGCTATCCTCCATTAAAGCACTTCGAGTCTCTTCAAAGTTTATCTGGTCGGGTTGGGAAAAATCCAACTAGAGAAGAGCATAAAGCAGACATCTGATCAGCCCGACCCATAATAACCTTTTTGTTGGCCGCGTAATATGTTCGAGCGCGGCCATCACACAAAGAACATACATAAAAAAAAAAAATCCACAGGATTCAAAGCCCTTAGCTTTGAAAATAGTCTCTTAAAGAGGTAATAAATCCATAAAGAAGAGCCCCAATTTGCATTCGTAATCCACCTCTTCCTAACACATTAGCTTCTGGTCATTCTGCTTTATATACACATCAAGTAAAAAAAATCAAAAATGGTGAGAAGAAGAGAAGGTCTTACATTGCCAATCATATCACCGGCGCTTCCCGAGGTCAGAACAGCAGCGACAACGCCGGTGGCCTCACAGAAACCAAAACATCGATTATCAAAACAACTTTCTATGTGTGAAACACCAAGAGACGTTGCTTGGGAAAGAAGAAGACGTCAGATGATAATGATTCAAGAAAAGAAGCTGCTTCATAAAGGCGCTTCAGACAATCTTTGTGTACAAGCGAATCTAACGGATGAAGATTTAAACGAGCTAAAAGGATCGATTGAGCTAGGTTTCGGTTTCAATGAAGAAGCAGGACAAAAGCTCTGCAATACATTACCAGCTCTTGATCTTTACTTTGCAGTGAATCGTCAGCTCTCGCCTCTTCCTTCACCTAGCAGCAGCCGTAGCAGCAGTGCATCTGCATCAGCTTTCTCATACAGTATACCTTGTAGTCCAAAAAAAACTGATTCAGATTCTTTGAAAATCTTATGCCCAGGTAATTAAAGATAGAAAACTCGTCTTTTTGGTGTTTGGTTTGAATGTAATAACAATTATAAACTAATGATTTAATATGACTTTTTTTTGCAGGGGATGATCCTCAACAAATGAAGCAAAGATTGAGACATTGGGCTCAAGCAGTTGCATGTTCTGTTATGCAGTCTTATTGAAGGAGTGTATATGTGAGAGATAGGAAGAAACGAATCTTTTATAATTAGGATTCGGAAGAAACAAAAAAAAAAGCAGAAAAATATAGAAAATTTTGGAGAAAAAGAGATGAAAATTGTGGCTCTGTATATATATACTCACAAGATGAGAGAAAGAGAAAGAAAAAAAAAACACCTCTTGTTCATAAGCTGTATACAAAAAAAGATTACAATATGATCTTGGATTGGATAATAAAATGAACCTTTTTTCTAAATAGTCGATTTTTAAACGAAAAAGAGAGAAAAGCTTTTCAAGAAAACATGAAGAGAACATGAAGAGATTTGAGACGTCAGGGTGTATTTTGCACAAAACGTATGATTGGGTGTATTTTATTATAAGTAAATATATGAGGGTCTAAAAGAAAGCCTCTCGAATCATCTTAAAACCTAGAAGCCTCCAAGTCCGACCAACTGAAAAAAGCTTGTTCTTCTGATAATCAGACACAAACAACACCGGTATCGACGAACGGAACTAACTCCGATATCCAAAACCCACTTCCAAGTTTCATTAACTAATCCGAGACAAAAGATAGGGCTTTGTATCTGCCATGGCTCCTGATGCTTCTACTGCTCTAGCAGGTCTGTTCTCTTCCTGCTTCGATATCTATCTTTAAATGCGTATAAATATTCCTTTGATGGGTTCTCTTAGTTTTCTTTAGCCACTCACCAAATTAATGCGGAACTAACTCCTAGTCGTGGTCGGACCACTCACCAAAGCCATAACTTTCCCCAGTGTTCCGACGAAGATGGAGTTGTCTCTTATGGACCGCTTCAACAGATGGTTACGCACCTTCAGACCTGAACCCCATCACTAAGCATTTGCTATCTATTTGGTTTTGAGATTAGCTAATTAAAGTTTCTCTCCCTTGTTAATCTCTTTAGTATTTTGTTTCGAATTTAGTTTTTATATTTCCATCGTTCCACCTATGTACACATTTCTTTAATTAATCCAACTTCGTGCATTAACTTAAGACACAAGTAACATCTTTTCCCAATTTGAAGAGAAACTGACACAGTAAAGGCCTATGACCAAACCTGTAACGTACTGTGTAAGCTATATATAAAGGTAATGAACAATTGAGTTTCATCTCTAGTTCATACACACTCTGACAAAACATTCAGTAGAATTTTTTTGGATCAGAGAGATAAGAATTAATGTAGTGCTTAGCTAAAAGAATTTATGTTTAGTTATAAACTGATATGATGTCGCCAATGAGAGCCAGCAAGATGATGAAGCCTATGATCATGTTGATGAGAGAGATATACGGTGGATTCTCTCGTTTTCTCTCAATTGCTTCCTCTGTAATCAACAAGCCCTTTTTCTCTGTCTTCACCATTCCTTGTTTAACCTGAAAAGGAAACTACATCATTCATCATCTTTAAGATCTAAAATATGTTTGAGATTATAAAATAGACACAAAATCAACATAGGAGCAACTCAAGAACTCTAGTTTCGATGATATTGTGCACTGTGCGAGTTGAGATTCCCGGGTCTTTCTACTAATGGAAGGTTCATCAGAAATTTGTATATCTTTGCTCAACGATAGAATCTCGTCTCCGCAAGTCTTGAGGAAGTGCCTATTTGAACTACCAACAGTATCAATTGGACTTGATGTTCCTTTGTAACTCTGTCATATTAGAATTAAATACTGAAAATACAGATTAATACTCCATGGAAGTCATTAGGAAAATGAGTGATATGTGCTTTACCGTTGCAGACATTGATTCAGCATAGCTATCACTATCACTGCTATAATCAACAATGATCCCTGACAAAGATATCTTTGGCCTGTAATCGTTGCGGTTCTCTTGCATTATGAATTCTTGATCAGGAAACACATCTTCAAAATTCCCTCCGTTATAACTCAGCAATCCACTCCAATATTCATCATTTCTAGGATCAAATGCATTCCGCGGAAAGAGATCCTCTTGTTCGTTCATTGGAACTCCCAAATCATGTACATTTTCTTGACCTGGCTGCTCAATCTGAAAACGTAAAAGAGAGTGTGAGTAATAGAATCAAGAACTTGAGATAAATAAAGAAACATGTCAGAAACTGGACTCACCTCAGGCTCTGTGTTAATAGCTCTGACAGAATCTTTTGGCCTGGAATCAATGTACATCTCCTGCATTTCTTGATCGGAAAGAAAATGTTGAGCTGTCCCTCGGTAAGCAGGTGGTAATCCACGCAGAAACTCATCATCTTCTTGGGCTAGGTAAGGAGTTAAGCTTTCTTGACCTGGCTGCTCAACCTGAAAATGTAAAGAGGCAACGAGTAACGAAACCACTCGATACTAATGAGCACCGAAACATTTCAGAAACTGGACTCACCTCTGGTAGTATGCTAGTAGAGACACTGATAGTATTCAAATCAGAGACCAGAGATTGACTTGCCACGCTCAAGCTATTACCATTTTGAATGTCTGCCTCTTTACCCTTATCAAATATTTTGCAGATAACATAGGAATCCTGAACAATATCAAAATCACACACACACAAATTCATATTTTCGGTAACACACTCATTAAGCCACAATGGTTATATTTCTTCTATTAACTCACAGAAATGTATCATCCATGATCTAACACTAGAAAAAATCTCAAAATGACTATCATCCAAAAAAAGTTGCATCAAAATGTTTATGTAAAAAACGAAAGTACCAAATTATGATGAGGCAAAGAAGTTATCTTATACTCATGCATAACCCAGCGACTCTTATTCCCCTTGGTTTTAGGATCTCCGTATTTTTGGTACAGAAAACCCTGTCTTTCTCCAATCTTGTTTCCACTCTCATCTTCGATTACCTTGACCCGGCCACTATGTTTCCAATACCAATATTTTTCTTTGGTGTTTCTCTTCCTCACCGTCTCGGTTTTGTACTGCTTGGGGACAAAGAAATAGTATATACTATCGTTCGATTTGATCCTCGATAAAGCTGTAACAAAACCCACAAAATCAAAATCAGAAGTTATTAATCGAAATCAAAGTGAAGAAAGTAGTGAGTTACATGAAAAAGAAGAGGGATGGTGATTTAGTATGTTGATCTCGCAGATAGTGTCGTCGACGAGCCATGTGTTACCCATAATCTTGTTCTTCAGATAATAATTTATCAGTTCCTCGTCTGTTGGTTGAAATCTGAATCCCGGTTTTTGCTCCATCTTCACTACAAAATCAAGAATGATGAAGTTTCTCTCAAAGGCGTCTTGTTTTTTCTTTTTCTTTTTCTCTATGGGCTCTGTTTTGGTTTTTTTTTAGGGGGAAGAGAAACAAGAGAGAGGTATTTAAATTGTCGAATTAAAAGAAAAACTTAATTAAAATTGAACGCTTCTTTTTAATGTCTTATTTCTTACGCTACTCATAAAACAAACAAATTCACAAATGTAATTAAACACCGTGTGGATTCCACTGACTTTGTAGCTCAATTAATTACTTGATGTAGACGGTAATTAAAACCGTGTGTCTCTCTATTCTTTTAATCTTTTTCTTTAAATCATCTTATAAATGTGAACTTGATACAATATGTTATGTGGTTCAAGTTATATGATAATATACAAAAAAAAAAAACTTTCGTTAATAATGATAGTATACATTGTGTTACTCTTGAGAATGTTAGACAAGGAATACGTTGCGATTTTTGTTTGAATTCCTCTACTTTATTTAAATTCCATTTGATTTGAGACGACTAATTAGTTTGTTTTATGTACATGTATCCATTTCTTTAGTGGAAAACTTTTACCAAGAAAAAGTTTGTTATTATCCTTTGAATTAGTTTTAATTATAGTCTGGTATGTATGTGAGTGGTGCCAGTCATACCCAATACCCATAATGTGGAACCTAAAGCAAAGTATTTTTCTAGCTAAACTCTTTTTACTATAAAAGGTATTTACAAGTCAATACTCATAATGTTTTAGAAAGATAGATAGCGAAACACGAGGTTGATTAGTTTATAAATGGGTTAATTATATATACCAAAATTTAGACTAATGCTGAAATTTGTAAAATGGTTGATAACTAAACACATTCTATGAAGAAACGAATCTTTTATAATTAGGATTCGGAAGAAACAAAAAAAAAAAGCAGAAAAATATAGAAAATTTTGGAGAAAAAGAGATGAAAATTGTGGCTCATATATATATATATATATACTCACAAGATGAGAGAAAGAGAAAGTAAAAAAAAACACCTCTTGTTCATAAGCTGTATACCAAAAAAGATTACAATATGATCTTGGATTGGATAATAAAATGAACCTTTTTCTAGATAGTCGAGTTTTAAACGAAAAAAAGAGCCAAATTTCATCTAGTATAATTGTATAAACGTTAAGAGAACATGAAGAGATTTGAGAAGTCAGGGTGTATTTTGCACATAACATATTATTGGGTGTGTTTTGTAATAATTAAATAAATGAGGGTCTAAGATTCAAATTTATTAAAAGACCTCTCGAATCTTCTTAAAACCTAGAAGCCTCCGAGTCCGACAAACTGAAAAAAAAAAAAAAAAAAAAAAGGCTTCTTCTTCAGATTTCTGATAATCAGACACAAACAAACTCCGGTATCGACGAACGGAACTAACTCCGGTATCCAAAACCCACTTCGAAGTTTCATTAACTAATCCGAGACAAAAGCTAGGGCTTAGTATCTGCCATGGCTCCTGATGCTTCTACTGCTCTTGCAGGTCTGCTCTCTTCCTGCTTCGATATCTGTCTTTGAATTCGTATAAATTCTAGATTCCTTGATGGGTTCTCTTAGTTTTCTTTAGTTGAATGAAGAAGTTTCGTTTTTTTTTCTTCTTTGCTGCCTTTCTTCTTCCTTTTTGTGAAATTTTCATTAGCTATATGTTTCTGCTATGGCCAGAACTAGAACTTTAGAAACTCAAATACTAATTAAAAATTTGCATTAGTTTTAATCAAATACTATGAATTGGCTCTGATTTGGGGTTAAAGTGGATAAGAATTGAAGTTGAACACTTTGTAGGAGAGCATAAGTTTTGTTGGTATTTTGAATCTCTAATTTTGTTTCAACTATGAATTCTTATTCTAGCGAGGGAGAAAGTTCAGCAATTCCTGAATGCAGCTTGTACAGGAAATCTTGAATTCCTTAAGAGTGAGTGCTTCAATTACTTTTTGCTTTGCTTCTCAATGTTCTTCAAGCAGTAATCTGTTTTTGTCTACTGATATCACTTCTCCAAGCAGATGTTGCTAAGCAGCTTGATGAAGGAAAAGACTTAAAAAAAACTGTGGAGAGTATTAAAGATGCAAACAAACGTGGAGCCCTTCACTTCGCTGCGAGAGAAGGACAAACTGAAATCTGCAGATATCTTTTGGAAGAACTGAAACTCAATGCCGATGCTAAAGATGAAGCTGGTTTGTATTTTCTAGGATTTTACTATTTGCACAATTTTTCTATTCTCAAATTCATTAACTGTGAAACTTAATCAGTGAGATTGCTATGATTGTGTAGGTGATACTCCCCTTGTTCATGCTGCGAGGCAAGGACAAATTGAAACGGCAAAGTATCTTTTAGAGCACGGAGCTGATCCCAATATAGCAAGTGAACTAGGAGCCACAGCATTACATCATGCGGCTGGGACAGGTTGGTTACTAATTGCTCTGTTATTAGTTTTATTTTACTTTGTCTAGTCATGAAGTGTTATGATTTACTTATATGACTCTTCTCTATACATTTATTAGGAGAAATTGAGTTGCTAAAAGAATTGCTCTCCAGAGGTGTTCCTGTTGATTCTGAAAGTGAATCTGGGACGCCATTAATCTGGGCTGCTGGCCACGACCAAAAAGATGCTGTGGAAGTCTTGTTAGAACACAATGCCGATGTAAACTTTCGTGTATTTATCTAATTGATTCTCTGTCTGAAACTGTACTTTCATATAACCTAAAACTTTTTTTTTGATGATTTTGCAGCCTAATGCTGAGACTGAAGATAATATCACTCCGTTGTTATCTGCAGTGGCAGCGGGTTCTCTAGCTTGCTTAGAGTTGTTGGTCAAGGTTTAACATCTTCTTAATCTCTAGTATTGCGTTGGTTCAGTTGCCAAACATCTTAAATCAGAGCTAACAAAAAAATGTTCTTATCGTAATCACAGGCAGGTGCCAAAGCTAATGTGTTTGCTGGTGGTGCAACTCCATTGCACATTGCGGCTGATATTGGAAATCTTGAGTTAACTAACTGTTTACTTAAAGCCGGGGCTGATCCGAATCAGAAAGATGAGGTAAAACCAACTTGGAAATCAGTTCATTTGCAAGATCCTATTCTCTTGTTCATTTGGTAGGACATGAATACAATCTTGTGTTACTATGCTAATTCTGCTGTAAACTCGATTATTTAGGAGGGAAATAGGCCATTAGAAGTTGCAGCTGCTAGAGACAACAGAAAGGTTGTTGAGATCCTCTTCCCATTGACAACAGAATCCGAAACTGTTTCGGACTGGACAGTAGATGGAATTCTCGCTCACATGGAATCAAACAAAGTAGGGATATCAGATCTTTCCTGGTTTTTAGTCTCGTATATTTCGATATTTTTTGTCTGAAACAACTTAGCGTTTTCAGGAACAAGAGGAAAACTCAAACAAGGCGAAATCCCAAGAGACCGGTATCAAGAAAGATCTTCCTGAGGTACTTCATACTATGATCGATATGCTTTGCTCTTACCACAATTTGTTTGAAATACTTAAAATTACCATTTTTAACTTCCACAGGTCTCACCAGAAGCAAAGGCAAAAGCCGCAGAAGCAAAAGCAAGAGGACAAGACGCCTTTCACAGAAAGGATTTCCAGATGGCTATTGATGCTTACACACAAGTATTCTACTACTCTAAAACTTCTAAAATCAAAACAAGATTCTTAATTTATGCCTATATGTGATTTTGTGGCGTTTTGTTTGAACATAGGCAATTGATTTTGACCCAACGGATCATACCTTATTCTCAAACCGGAGCCTCTGCTGGCTGCGACTAGGACAAGCTGAGCATGCCTTATCTGATGCTAAAGCCTGCAGAGAACTAAAACCAGATTGGCCTAAAGGTTGCTTCAGAGAAGGCGCTGCTCTGCGTTTGCTACAGGTAAAAACCATCTACATTTCCATTAAAAATCTTTGATCTTTTACATTGAAACTGTATGACTCATCGAGTTTCTCATGAATCTCCAGCGGTTTGACGAGGCAGCCAATGCCTTCTACGAGGGAGTATTGCTTAGCCCTGAAAGCAAAGAGCTCATTGATGCTTTCAGGTTTGTAAGGAAACCCTTATGATGTTGATTTTTATCGGTTTGTATTGGGTTTTCGAGATAAATGGTGTTTTTTTTATGTCGCTTTCTTTTACAGAGAAGCTGTAGATGCTGGAAGAAAGTTTCACGGCAAGGATGAGGTTAAGGCCAAATCATAAGATCTTGGAGAGATGGCACTTTGTAGTATCTGTATGAAGTTTTGATCTGCTTCTTACCTTTGTTCTCAATGTACTGAAAATTTAGGAACAAAGTTTTGTTTGTGGTTGGATTTGGTAATTTGTCCGAGTTTACAGCTTAGATAAAAAAAATTATTGGTAAAACATTAGTCTGATTTTGAAACTTTTCTTATATTCTTACAAACCAAAGTTTGATTACCATAATCAATGTCGATAAACAAACAAAACAAAATCTTTAGTTCTCCTCGGCAATTATTTTTCCTTCGGGGAGCTACTAGAGAATTTTTGTAAAAAAAAAGTAAATTTTTTAATTATATCTTTGTTATCTGATATTAGAAAAAAAAAAGACGAAATTAATTTGATATACCAATAAAAAAGAAGAAGGATGTGGAAAACAAGACAGGAATTCTCTACAATGATACTGTAAACCTATTGAAAGGGATGTAGCGCAACTTGGTTTGTTTTGGGTACAAAATGTCACGGATTCAAATCCTGTCATCCCTACCTATTACTGCTCAGAAGAGCAGTAACGAGGTATCTATTTTGATCTTTTTTTTTTAATCGGACATACATTTACATTTAATTCTGAAATTTATGATATACTATGTATGATATAGTATATACGTACAAAATCGAATCGGGTTAAAGAATGCCCTCTTTCTAGCCTTTTCGTTTTTTATAAAAAAAACAAGAAAAACGCTCTTAGTTCTTTTTGTTCAAGCTTAAAATGACAATATATACATACGAACAAGAGTGTTTAGTCACAACGTAATATTAGAAAAATATCGAAGTTAAGAGATAAGATCATTAAGATGATTTTGTTATACATTAAATCTGAAAAATAATCCTCGATAAAAGATGAAGATATTTATTACAATGACTTCAACCTAAGCTGCCGAAACTTGAGCACATTCTTACTTCTAACCTTGAGAAACAAGTTAAAAGCCCAAACTCAACCAAAACCTAAATACGACTCTTAACACCGAACCAACCCTAAACATCCGCCGTAACATGAAACTCCTTTCTTTTTGGGGATCATCTCCACCATTTATCTCTACATATCAAAGCTTAAGGTCTTCAAACCATCATTCCTCCTTGTATTCTTGAATATTCTTCCATCACTTTGTCAATTATGGCGGAAGGAAACCTTAAGAAAGAATGACATGGAAGCATCTCTGGCAATGGAACACTGACTCTTTCCGCAACAAAAGGATGGCTCAACAGCTCGGCCGCGGTGGCCCTACGTGACGGCTGCAACGCCAAGCACCGCATCAAGAAGTCGTTGGCCACTGGAGATATAAGTTTGGGAAGTCTCCACATGTAACAGTCTCCCATCATCTCTGGACATCCTCCAAACATCTGAATAACCATACACCCTAGAGACCATATATCAACTGCCGGTCCCATCACTCCATCAGGTCCAAACGATTCTGGCGGCATGTACTGCTCCGTACCAGGAAATAACGACCTAGAATCCGTAGAAGGCTCTTTAGATGAACCGAAATCAGCAAGCTTGAGATCCCATGGCTCTCCGAAGGTTGTGGAAGGGAAGACGAGGACGTTGGCTGGCTTGAGGTCGCAGTGAACGTAGCCGTGTGAGTGAAGAGCGTCAAGTCCTTGTATGATCATAAGAGCGGCACGTTTGATCATATTCTCAGGCATTGGTTTCCCACGAAACTTGGAGATCATATTGAAGAGAGTGCCTTTGGAGGCAAACTCCATATAGATGTGACATCCTTCGGGTTGGATCCCTAAGTGAACAACAGGGCTTGACGCTTGGACGATGCGAGGATGATTGCGGAAACAAAGCATGATGCTAAGCTCTTTCTCGAGATTCTTCAAGTGGTTGAACGAAGATGACTTCTTTGCATAGAGTCGGAAGTCAGGACCCCGCTTGAGAGAGACATAGCCAAAGCTCCCTCGGCCAAGAACGGAGACGTGCTTCAATGAAGACTCGGGTACACCCAGAGGTTCTCTGATTATCTTCTCCATAGTAGTAGTACTCTCTTAATTTTAATTAAGGGTTTGCTTAGATTTATAATTTTCTTGTATACTTGACAAATGAGAAAGCCAAAAAGTGATGGTTCAATGGTGCAGTGCGATACAATCTATTTATAAGACCTAATTAAGTCGGTTGTTTAACTCCTGACTCCTGTTTTGATTTGGGCCTTTGGGGAAGGATTCGAGTTGGATGGAGATCAAAAACGAATATTACACCGTGTACGTAAGATACTATATAATATTTGATAGTTATTTCCATTACAAAACACAAATTACTCGTGATGTTTATTTTATCTTAAATATTTATGAAAGGTGATAATAATAAGATGTAAGGCGGTGATTGGATATTTGGATGAACTTGAAGATCTTCAGCAATTGACAAATTCGTAGTTGACAATTAAGTGCCCACGTGCGTATCCCTGACCGTTAGTATCAAGTTGCCTGAAAACGCCGTCGTCTAAGTCTAAACCGCCGTTACTACACTGATCAATGATTCTCACCGTCGCTTGTGTTCCCGTCGCAGTATTCGTTACCTGCGCATGTTTGCGTTTTAGTTTTTGGTTTTTTGAAATTATATATGTATCAAATGTAATAGAATACATGACACTTGACACGTGAAAAAATATCATTTTTATGGAAAATAGCTAGTGTTTAAAAATCGTGATTTTTGTAAATAGAGTGACGACTTACTCTTAAGCATCTTCCGCAAGAATCACGGCCTCGCGGTCCAGTTGGACCGCAGAAAGCTGTCCAACCGTACTTCCTACGCCATTCGATAGGTTGGTTTCCTTTCCATGTTGAGCAATACGCACTTACTTTGTAAAGGTCCCAACCGTTTTGCTCGGGATAATAGTAATGGTAAGTTGCTCTTACATTAGAAGCGGTTTGAGCGGCTGCTTTAGCCGCAAATGTGCATAGCAAAACAAACAAACATATGCTAAGTCTTGCCATAGGTGATCTTTTATGTTTGTTCTCTAAAATATATTGTGATACAATCAGAGATGGACGAAGAAATTTATAGGGAAATAGTTTTCTTACAGAATGGATAAATTGCTATACCAAAAAGTTTGTCACATTGTGAATACTTTTCTTAGGGTTTGAATTTTCAGTGGATGACTAGCTAGCCTTGGGAGATGTCTATGGCGGCTTATCAAGTTTTGTGGTGGAAATTGAAAGTTTCTGAGGTAATAAGATTGAGCATTTATTAGAGGGGACAAATGTTTATGTTATCTCACTTTAGTCTTGCTTGCTTCTTGTTGCCGGTAAGTGTATGTAATGACTTATTTTTTCTTTTTGGTTTTGTTATGTAATGACAACTATAATGACTTAATGAGTCTTTATTTTACTATTCGATGATTCGATCTAAGACATCTGAGTTTATATTCGAATAAATGTTAAATTCAGAATATTTCAATATTTGGTTTACGTGATTGATAACTAGAACTAAAATATTCATATATCCAGTGTAACCAAAAAGAAATTAAGAATAACAAATGAGATCAATATATCCACTAAAAAAATTAGATATTCGGATATTGATTTTTAATTTGTGAGAGAGATGTTCATGATTAAATCTACATTAATCATTCTGAACCGGTTAAAAGTCAATCATCTAAAATTATGACCATACATGTTACTAATACTCTATACTTAGCTTCTAGCAGTTATAAACATGTAAATCTATGTGTATATAACTTATGGATGCAAAATTTGCATGGGTGTACACCTGTTTATATTCAAATCCAATTATCATTTTATTCCTTAACAACTTTCCAAACACATTATTTTTGATTAATGGGTTTATCTTCATTGATATGAAAGATAAACTCGAGACATTATTTTCTCTTATTAAAATTATGTTATAGTTTAAAGGTAGATGCTGTGATCCCTTAGAGGAACTAGAACTTGAAGAACTTCAGCAGTTGACAAACTCGTAGTTGACAATCAAGTGCCCACGAGCGTTTCCCTGACCGTTAGTATCAAGCTGTCTGAAAACACCCTCGTCTAAATCCAAACCCCCGTTACTACACTGATCCACGATTCTCACTGTGGCTTGCGTTCCGGTCGCAGTATTCGTCACCTGCGTTTGAGGGGACATATGCACACATTCACAAATTTTATATAGAAAAGGGCGTTTGAAAACGTGATTTTTGAAATAGATAAAAAATGACTTACCCTTAAACATCTACCGCAAGAATCACGACCGCGAGGTCCAACTGGACCGCAAAAAGCTGTCCAGCCGTACCTCTGACGCCACTCAAGCGGTTGGTTCCCATCCCACGTCGAGCAATACGCACTTACTCGGTAAAGATCCCAGTTGTTTTGTGCAGGATTGTAGATATGGTAAGTTGCTCTTACGTTAGGTGCGGATTGAGCGGCTGCTTTGGCCGCAAACGCACATAGCAACACAAACACACATAAGCTAAGTCTTGACATTTCTTCCTCTGTGTTGTTATTTTTTCTTAAATTTAAATCTGTGATAGATAGAATAAAGAATTGGTGAAACTCTATTTATAGAAAATTATACTATGAAATGACTAGTTAAGTCTAATAAAACGCTTGGACCGTTGTGTATGATTTTCTTTGGCTTTGAATTGAATATTCAATGTACTTACTATTCTTGGAAGACGTTTCTAGTCGTTTGTTTCACGTTCCATGTCCATCATTATTCATAAACTTACAACCGTAATAATTTATAGATGACATTGCATTTATGCGAATACGTTTATATAGGGGTTTTCAAAAAAGAAAGAATTCAATCCCATTAGATTAATTAAGTTTATATATACGATCTTATTATAGAAGAATTGATTAGGCCGATAAATAATGATATGAGAACTTATTCTAATTTCCGCATGATGAGATACAAATATTTAAGTTTTCTTTTTTTGTATGAATATAAAATTTTGTTCACCAAAAGATCTTGTTCACATTGGATGCAACCTTTTGCTTAAAAACTAAATCAAGAACTGTAATTTTAATTATCAAGACAGAGATTGGTGCAATATTTATTGGTGTACACGAAATCTAGTGAAGAAAAGTGAAATTTAAACTGTTTTTAATTACACATATTTCTCTCTGTTAAAAGTTTTATTACAACTATATATATCATCTAATTAGTAAATACCACGATATACTACAAAAGACGAAGTTACCAGTTTACCATTAATTAGTCAAAACGTGCACGTCTTTGCCATGACCACCGTTCATAAATTACTGAATTAGTATTTCATAATTAATATATACTTATTGGATCTAATATGTAATTAATATGCATTTCTAAAGTGGTATCGATTTATTATAACATTCGAAAACTCCTTATTGATACGAAACATATCTCTACACATATATCGAGGTCTTTATTATATATGTGTAGACCGATATTGACCTATCCCTCGAAAAGTCGAAATCATTGCAAAATATCAAACGCGATCAATGGCAGAAACAAGGATGTTTTTGAAATCAGGCTGCCCAATGAGCTCATTGCCACAGTCGACAAATTGGTAATCAACAATGAGATGGCCTTGTTGATAGCCAAAACCATCGGTGTCTATTTGATTGAACATTGCAACATCCAAATCCAATCCTCCATTGCTACATTGGTCCACTATTCTCACCGTTACTGCAGCATTTGTTCTTGTGTTCTTTACCTGTATCCATATATACCCACAGGTTAATCACTATTTTTACCGGCTACATATAAAATCAGCTAAATTAAAAATCTTTTGAAACATTCACTAACACAGCAATATCGACTTGGTTTTGGTAACAAAATTTATCTTCATATATATTCGTCTTGGTTCCTACATTTTATATATAGACATCTTTCACAAACATAGTTCTATAAAGAATTTAGAAAAAGGATAATTACTTACCCTTAAGCACTTGCCGCAAGAAGCTTGACCACGAGGTCCTGCCGGTCCGCAGAAGGCAGTCCAGCCATACTTACTTCGCCATGCGTATGGCTTATCAGCATCCCAAGTGGAGCAAAAAGCACTCACGGCTCTTAAATCCCAATTATTCTGCGCCGGATTGTAGAAATGGTAGGTGGCGCGTACGTTCGACGCGCTCTCCCCTGGTCCGCTAGGTCCGCTTCCCCAACAATTGCTCTGGCAGTTGTTGTCCGGAGAACAGTAGTCCGCGGTGGTGCCACAGTAGCCGTATTGGCTGCAGCAGATGTTTCCGGGACACGTCCGACCACCGCCTTGACGACCGCATTGTTGTCCGGCAACCGTAGCCACCGTGTATGATAAAAGTATGATGGTTATGCTAAGTCCGATCTTCATGATCGATAAGTCTTTAATTTTAACTTCTTGGTGTTGTAACGCATGTATCTATATATATGAATATAATATCAATAGTTAATTATATAATAATGATTTTCTTTGATTCTACGTAATTGATTTAATTACAGACGTTACAGATAACGTGCTTAAACCATATGATATACACATGTAGGTTAAATTTATATACCAACATATTGAACTTTCGTTGGATTCGATAGAATATGAAAACAAATAATTCAACTGGTCATGAAAAAACTGTGTTAATTGTTAGATTTTTTAAAACAGATTCTTTACAAAAAAATTATTTGGTTTTCCTCTGGAATTTTCTCTACAAAATTGGATGTCTGAATTGATAAAACAAATTTTGGAAAATAAATAAATAGAAATAAAGAAGTGATATAATTTGGAATATCAATGGTATATGCTCTTTGACGAGAAATTAAGATGACGGGATGAGGGTTAAACTCCGGTGGGAAATGTGTGCCTAAGAACCGTCGATATTCTTTGAACGGAAGCTTATTGGTCAAAGTCATTCAATCGGACGGTTTAAAACAAGGAAGCACTGTGTATCTTCGTATATCGCGGTGCATGTGATTACTGATGAAGAGAGGCGGCTAATTGTGATTGTAGAAAATAGCAGCCTGGTAGATAAGAGTCGCTCTCATTTGGATAAATATTGCATTCGATCCTTTGACTAATCAAAGTTAACAAAATCGGTCCATTGAATTAGCCATTTTGGATTATTTAAAATTTTGTTTCTTAAAAATCACTGAGCAGCTTAAAAAGTTTATTCTATAATGCGTAAGTAAAAATAAATCCATCCGTTTCCTCGTAATTTTTCTTTGTCGACAAGATATTATATTCATTTAGATACAAAATATGAAATTTTCGACTTTGATCTAAGATAGTATCGAGAGACTGGCGAGCCTACAGATCTTTAAGTGTTGACTTCATTTAATGGGCCACACACGGGTTTGGTTTTAACGAAACTGAGCCCATATCATGTCTACTTCAATTTGTTTATAAGTTGGTTACAAGGCTAAAACAGAGTATAAAAGAGAAAAGAGAGGAGCAAAGATAGTGTTCTAGAGTGCTTCTCGTTTATTTTTGTGTATCTTTCATCTTCCTGTTATCATCTTTTGTGCATTTTGTACTTGTAAATTACAAGTTGTAACACAAAGAGAGAAAACTCAGCATAATCTTTTTGTAAGCAGCCAATTTATTATATTGAACTAATTCTTCTACAAATAAATAACTACATGTGGTGAATTTGATAACCAAGTATATAAACTAAGATCAAGATTACCAAGAAATAAGATAAAATAAATAAAACAAATAGCATGCGTTACACTTATCACCCGTTGTTTGTTGAGGCAATGGATGTCGATGACAGCGTAAAGCATCAATAATGGAGCATACATATTAAAGACATTATTGATTTACTCAGAATTCATAAAATATATATATTTTTTTTTGGTTTTAATGTTAAGAAATTCATTAAAATATTGTCCCCCAACAACTCTACATTATCCACATGCTCTTGCCCTTTTCACCATCTCATTACCTTGATCTATTTAAAGTTTCTCATATACTTATGTTTCACCGAATAGATACCAAAAAATGATACATGTAATATTTAAAAAATTAAATATTGAATTATGGCCAACCTTATAAAAAAAGTGGCACTAAACACCAATTGGATCCTGTTGAGGCCAACCTAATACACACGACGATAATTGGTCTTCAAGTTATATTGATACAAAGACACTGTTAAACATTTTTTTTTTGACACTATTAAATTTCCATTTGTTGGCTTTACGATTCTTAACCTTCTCATGTCATTTAGCTCCCCTTATTGAAATGTTACTAAAATATAGAATAAACAAACAAAAAGGAATAATTTAAGATGGTTGAAAATGTTGGAAAAAAAGGATGGTTGGAAATGAAATAATTTAATAAGTAATAATTTGATACGTCAAAGTAACACACTAATGATGTGCCTTACGGACACTGACCATATAGACAACACGATAATGCGTAAAAAATAAAAGTTGTTTTAATAGATGCAACCTAATTAAATATACATAATACATATAACAAAAACGGTTTAAAATTTTTAAATGTAATACATCACAATATTAATATTATTATTAATTAATATTATAAGCAAACTCCTTGCTCGGAACAGTAGTTTCGAGCCGGTTTGGCTTTTCTCGGTTCGAGATATCCAACCGATCGAAACAGTCTTTCTTCCTTTTTTAGGTAAAAACAAGAAATGTCGTCGAGAACTCAACTTCTGTTCTTGCACTTTTCTAATGCCCTTGGAGCTGCAACAAATGGAAAATTAGTATAAGCGAAAAAGTACAACTTCAATCCTAAAAATCATATAATTTACACCATCAGTCTTGGATTAAACAATACTAACCAAGTCCGATTGCTTCTGATCCCTTCATTATTCGTATACGTTTGCATGAATCAACAAACATCCTAAAAACATATAGTCCAAACATGTAAATAAATAATTTGTATTGACATATTTATATAATAATTCATATATAATTTAAAGATATAAAAATAAATTAATACTCACTCCCACGGTACGTCTCCTACAAGCATCCAGTCGCCATCTTTATCTTCATATGTTGGAACATAATCTGATCCGTTTAGAAGATCGATCAATATACTCTCATTCATGAAATCTTTCATTCCTTGTGGTCCATAGGTGCCTGAAATAAATTTTTTTAAAACTATATATAACACAAAGAATCATGTTTTTAGTAGATATATATTGTCAATTTTTATTTACCTATGGTAAAAGAGCTAAACATTTTGCTTAAGGCATCGGATAGATCTTGGTAAGTTTTGTAGAGTTTCAAGTCAATTTTCCGTAGGTACGGTGCGCCATCCATGCTAACCTTCACGTAAGCGACGGCGGCACATACGGATGCGGATGAGGTGGCTCCACTGCTGCCAGAAGTCTTATCGTTTCCTACGGTGGCATCTCCGGTGGTCGGTTTTTGGCCGGACATGACGTTCTTGCGGAAAGATCGTACCGGTGGCCATCCCACAACTTGTGCCCTGAAATTCCGTAAAGATCTTTTATTTTTTTCAATAAAACTAATTAATTTGTTTGTAAGAGAAAAAAAAGTTTGAAAATGATCTAGTTGTTCTACACGTGTCGGATGTTCGGTGGCTGTAGTTGTCCAAAAATTTTAATTAATCTTTAATCTTTTTGGTAAATAAAGAAAGATTCCTTATGTTTTGTATTTTTCTTAGTTCTTCCCGACAAAAAAAATAAATCAAACAGAACCCTCAAACCTAACTATGTAAGGCTGTTGAAAACATGGAGCAAAACCAAATAAAAACAATAAAAAATCAAAGATCTTAGGAGAAGTATTAGCATAATTATTCCAATCGAGTTCCCTAACCTAGCTAGTAATCGTGTTAAAGCATGCATATCCATCTCTAAATCATTACCGTCTAGTATAACCTAGCTAATTTTTCCGAATCCACTAGAAGACAAAATATTATTAGTTGAAATAGAGATTGAAATTAAGGTTCTTACTTGGCTGGTGGTTTTACGACCTTCTCCTTCATATTCTCTAAATCGACTTTGGAAACTGAATCCATAGCCGTTGATGAAAGATTCAGTTTGAGATCAACGGTCTCAGAAAATCCTCTTTTGCCATTATATTTTCCGACCATTTCTCCTCCGTGATTACCACCCGGCAGCCCTAACCTCAGCTCCGTCGCCTCGAAATTAATCATATTTTTTGATATAATGATTCTCAACGAGTAATAAGTTCGGTGAGCCGACAACGAGTAGTAAATTCTTCGGCTTCTAGGGTTTTTTTTTTTAGTTCTTTTGGGAACTATATTGTCTGGAGAGAGAGAGAGAGAGCGGATGTGATATGTGTGTAGAGAAACAAAGGGCTAAATATTGGATCGTGTGTGGTATAAAATTATATATGGAATTCATCATTGAGGATCATTATTTGAACGGACGCGATGTTGCCAGGTGGATGCTGGGATTGGTTGGACCGTAAAGAGTGTTGTCGGGAGAGAATGATGTCACGGATGGCGTCATTTTCCTGAGAATAATTGCGGCCAAGCCAGTGGGCAAAGGCCAACTTGGCACACAGTCTCTCCTTTTCTGTTTCGAATTCATCCACCAAAATTAAAACATAAACTAATTCTGAATTCAAAGCTAATACTATATATTAGTTTGATTTAATTAATAGTATATCACTACCAGAAAAAGGTATATCTCTCCTCCTTACTTAAATCAGTCTTGAGATCGATCTTAAAGGTATATGGGACTTTTTTGTAATATCAAAAACAGAAATTTCAATTTGATTAAAATAGAAAAGAAAAAAACTAAAAATATAAACAAAAGAGTGTTTTGTCGGGAAATTATTTTAAATTTATAGGTGATGGTTTATATAAAAATGGAATAAAAAAAAATGACAGCTAAGACATAATGGAACCCACAGATGGGAAAGAAATCGAAAGTGGTCAGCTTCAAACATGTGTTTTGATTCCCATGGATTCGTTCGTTGTCCTTCTTATGGGGTCCGCCATTCACAAGGCCTAATGGCCTATGCTTGCCTTTTTTAAGACTATTTTCAATTATTTTTATATAAAATAATTTCTTATATTATAAATACCGACAAATATTTATTGAAATCAAATAAATTTAAAAATTTAAAATTTAAATAAACTAAAAGTCCTGGTCTGCCATAGCCTTTTCGTACTATACTATTCCCATGTGCCTCTGTCTTGGCTCTAAATTTATGGATTTTTGTGAAGTCAATAGAGAATTAGGGATTCATGGTATGTTATTCAAGTAATTGTGCATTAAACATGATTACCAATTTCAGATGACTTGCATTATGTAATTAGGAAACATTCCTTCTAATGTTGGGAATAATTTAATCTAATGATAATTCGTTGTAAAAAAAATGGTCTACTGCTGACTAATTATTTTGTTTTGTTAAATGCTAACTAATTGTTAGGTTTATATTACATTGGACTAAAAAAAAAAAAAAAAAGAAATTACATTGGACTATAAATCTTAGTGGGAAGGGCCAAACATGACTAACTCAACAGTAAGTTTGGTTAACCGGTTGAAGTGGTATTTTTTGTAGTGAAAATCAAATGAACCGGTTTACTGGCTGAGAGAAAGAAAGACACAAGATCCTTATAACTAGTTCAAATATAATCACTATCGTTTTCCAGGGAAGCATAATCTCTATACTAAAGTATTCGCTGCTTTAGAGATTAGCGGATAAGTGATAACATTCGGATTAATTTCTCATCGTTATTGTCGCGCAATCATTATCATTCCGTAAATTGTTCGTGCCTTAGGAGTATCATATATCTATACAGTATGTAGTTTAGAGATAACACATGAAAGATAACACATTAAATGGGAATTTTGCAAAGTGAAATTTTATGGATATGATTTGAAATAGACATTTCACTCTCTATTTTCGTAAAATGTAAGAACATGTGAATGGCGCCCCTATTTGACGACAAACGCGATTACGCAAAAAAAAAAAAAAAGAGAGAGTTACGTTGAAAATCATATATAGATAGCAATTGCGAGTTTTAATCGTATATCATTATTTTTTTAGTGGTCAACCATATGTGTTATGGCGGGACAATGCCCATGTCGTCGACCCTAAAATATGGTAATAGTATTTTTTGAGAAAGGAGCATAATAATAGTAGCGTTGATAATTAAACTCTCCTTGCAAATTAATTATTAAAGCATATAGAAAAAAAATTATAAGAGCATAATGATCATCAAAATCATTTATTGCTAAACATCATCATGTTCATGCCCCCATGCATGATTACGATGGAAGAATCTGACATAAAAAATATTGAAGGACCAAGTTGACAACGACTTCATCTTAATCTACATGCCAAGAATTTTATATAAGTAAAATTGATTTAAACTTATAAACGTGAGGAGTAGGAGATAAAAGGGTCCACATGGGCCCAAAAACACCAACCCGATAGAGAGAGCTGTTAGGACCCTCGTGTGGGCTGGGCCCAGTCAAAAATCATGGTCTTGTTGTGTGGTGTATACCAAACATTACAGGTTCACACGTGTGACAACAGGTCCTTAAATGCAATATGGGGTAGTGCCTCTGATCGCCTTAACACCGTCAACGTCTTCCCCAAACCTTACCGTGTCCTTCATCTTTATCGGATAGCTGATAGATACCTATGTAATTTCTGACTCAATCCTTATATGTATTATGCCTTGTTTTAAAAATCGCTAGGCGCTAGTCGGGCGCTCGGCATGGGCCTAGCGATTAATCGGAAAATCGGATTAAAATCGGGGATTAATCGGGGATTAGTTTTAGGGTTATTTTAATATTTTTAAAATATATTAATCCAATATTGTAAAAATTTATGATTTTTATTACAAATTTATGACTTTTATTAAAATTTGAACACAAGTTATTGTAAAACATCACAAACTCTCCATTCAAATGATTACATAACAAAAATAAAAAGTTTTTTTATACTTGCAATCTAAAAAATAATCGGGGTATATAAGATTAGGCGGAAAGTAATCGGATTAGGCGGAGAATAATCGGGTTACTGATTTTTTAGGGGATTAGTCAAACCTTACCGTGTCCTTCATCTTTATCGGATAGCTGATAGATACCTATGTAATTTCTGACTCAATCCTTATATGTATTATGTATAGTGCTAGAGATAAGTTATCATTCCACTATCTTTATTTAAGATGCCCAGTACCAGTTAATAGTTTTTTACTACAGTATTAAATAACAAATTTTTGTTTCTATTCAGCTAAGCAGTTTGATTCTTTATTTTTATTTTCTCATTAATACGAAGGAACTAAAATCGAACAAAACTGAATGATAAACATGATTTCATCAATTGTATATTGTAAATGTAATACAATGATACACACTGGAAATTATTAAGCTAAGGCTGTATAGATATAGAAAATAACATGGCTTAAACACAACCAAACCCATAGATTTATTATTCATGGGGATTGGTTATATGCATTATTATAAATAAATTGAGCTTGTATTAACATTTTTCTAGAAATGGGTGGAGGTGGATCACGTCTACATCTATGTATTAGTTCACATCCCCGTTTGTACGGATTCACCGGTTGTTCGGATGGAGCACATGCAGAAGGATACTGATGATGATCACAAGGGAGATCAGGTCTCAATCCTGGATACCCAATTACTTTTCCAACCGTCATGTTCATGCTGCTTATGAACACACATGCTATGAATGTTGCCACTACCATAAACCTATTTGTTTTTTTCATATTGCTTTTTTTTTTTTTTTTTGTTGTGTGGGGGAAATGTGTATTTGTGGTAAAATATGGTTCAATTCGTGGTATTTATAGTGAATAAATATTGTGAAAGAGTCTTATACAACTTTTAACTTCAAAGGCAATTACAATAGGATGTTGACTATTGACCGGTAGAAAATGTACCTATAGAATTCTTTAGTATTATATAATAGTCCTTTTTTAGCCAGACTAGTCAACAAGCTTTTAGATATGCATGTTGTGGTCATAGTAATACTAATATTTTAATACTTGACTTCTATGTACTCTATAATAATATATCAATAGATTAGGTTTCATATTTTCTCAGTACATGGAAGTGAAAACAAATTAAAGCACTTTGCCTTACAGTAAAATTTTTGACACCAATAATATGCAAATCATAATCTAATAGTAAGCAAAATACACCAAACATATTTATAGATAAGTGTGTCAAAATCTGTTATATAGACGACTGTTAGAATACATGGCTGGGCTTTTTGGTATTGGGTTCGAAAGAATATATAAAACATTCATGCTGGTTCTTTATTTGCCGCCCAACATAAATTAGTTGGACAAGTGATAAGGCCATGCTACTCCTACATAGCGTTACACTGTTACTATTGCTTCATGGAAAAATAAACCTCGTACCAAAATTGGAATAGTTTTATGTTTTTTAGTTGAGTACTTATTGCAGGGTATTAAAAATATTAGATATAAGCGTTTCTTGTGATTGCTTATTGAAAAATTGTTGTACACTATTCACCATATACAATATAGATTAACATCTTCTCTACTTAAGAGTAGTAGTGTACATTAATGATAATTTTGTAAATAACCTTTTTAATGATGGTTAAAATGTCTAATTAATAATTTAATAGTGACAAATAATTAGTACAAGTGACTTACTCTGCTTACGTGGATAAAAGAGAGAATTAGATTTTGGCGTTTGTTAAAAAAAGCTTCTTCACCAAAAATCCTTGTTTTTTTCTTTTCATCTTCCCTGACCCCTTTCAATTGTAAACCCTTTTCTCTTCCTCTCTTGTCCGAATCAAATCCGGTGTCTGGAAAAGGGAAGCTTTGTCGTGGTGGGGGGGGGGGAAGCGGAGGATAAAAACCCTAATTTTTTCGAATCGTGAGATCTCCTAAGTTTCTGAATCGGGTGGTGGCGATTTTGTTTCTTTGTCCGCGATGGCGGAATTAGGGCAACAGACGGTGGATTTCTCCGCTCTTGTTGGTCGAACCGCAGAGGAATCGTTCCTTTCTCTTAAGGAACTCGTGGAAAAGTCTAAGTCGACGGAGCTTTCTGATAATGAAAAGAAGGTTAGCCTCCTTAAGTATGTTGCTAAGACTCAGCAACGGATGCTCCGCCTCAATGCCCTCGCCAAGTGGTGTAAACAGGTTTGTCTTTCTCTGTTTCTACAAGTATTTAACACGTTTTGGGTTTTTGGGCCCAAGTGAAAGTTTGAACCTTTCTTGGATTGGAATCGGATATGTTGGAAGATTAGGGTTTGGTTTTGTTGATTGCATGATCTATTAGTTTTGAACACACTTCCCGTGGATTTAGTTTTGAATGGAATTGGAAGATCCTTTTGTGTGATCTTGTCCTTGATGTTTTTGTTCTTGTTTGGGTTATGTTGCTTGTCTACTAAAGTTATGATTTTTCTATTGCAATTGTATGAAGTAATAATGTCTTTTGATAACTCTGGCCTATAGCGCCAAGTGTTTGCTAAAGTTGCAGCGTTTTTACTTCTAGTGTTAGTTTTCTAGCTGCGTACGGAGTGTCATATAAGCTAAGAACTTTACCTTGGTTGAGTTCACTTTCACTATAAACACCATTAATGGTCTGTTTAGGAATTAGGATACCATTTGGTCCATAAAAGCAATCCATTTGTTAGCATTTATGTAGTCTCTACGTTTCAATAGATTTGTCCTAGTGAGAGACAAAATTCCATGGAACTTGAATTTCCAAGTAGGCTTATCATGCGGTTCTGTTATTTATACATATTGTAAGAAAATATTTTGACTGTAGTGTCTCTGTGAAAGGTCAAGGTAGTTTACATAAGATCAACGTTCCATTTTTCAAAGTTTAGATTTCCTAGATTATTGATGCCTGCTTGTGTTCACTATCTTTACTGAGTAAGTACTCGAAAATTTGTTGAGCCGCTTATTCACTTTTGGCTATACCTCCTGGGCTGCAGGTTCCTCTTATAAATTACTTTCAAGACCTTGGGAGCACATTATCAGCTCATGATATATGCTTCACACAAGCTGCGGATTCGCTGTTTTTTATGCATGAAGGTCTACAGCAAGCTCGCGCTCCTGTCTATGATGTTCCCTCTGCTGTTGAGATTTTGCTGACAGGTTCTTATCAGCGCCTGCCAAAGTGTCTAGACGATGTGGGGATGCAGAGCTCTTTGGATGAGCATCAACAGAAACCAGCTCTAAGAAAGCTGGAGGTTCTTGTACGTTCCAAACTACTTGAAATCACACTTCCAAAAGAAATAACAGAGGTGAAAATTTCTAAAGGTACAGTTACCTTTTCTGTCGACGGGGAATTTAAGGTTCTTGTTACTCTTGGTTACCGAGGGCACCTATCCATGTGGAGGATATTGCATTTGGATCTACTTGTTGGTGAAAGAAGTGGCCCCATTAAACTCGAAGTGACAAGACGGCATATCCTTGGAGATGATTTAGAGCGCCGAATGTCCGTGGCAGAAAATCCATTCACAATATTATATGCGGTGCTCCATGAGCTGTGCGTTGCCATTGTCATGGACACAGTCATAAGACAGGTCCGAGCTCTTCTCCAGGGGAGATGGAAAGATGCAATTCGCTTCGACTTAATTTCAGATACTGGCACCACACCAGCGAACCAAGAAGGAGAGGCAGATTCTGTTAGTCTTCGAACTCCAGGAGTGAAACTTATGTACTGGTCAGATTCTGATAAAAACTCTGGCCCATTCATTAAAATTGAACCAGGGTCAGATCTCCAGATTAAATGTTCTCACAGCACATTTGTAATTGACCCACTTACTGGCAAGGAAGCTGAGTTTTCTCTCGACCAGAGCTGCATTGACGTGGAGAAGCTTCTGCTTAAAGCTATATGCTGTAATAGATATACCCGTCTTCTTGAAATTCAGAAAGAGCTTTTGAGGAATGCTCGTATTTGTCGAGCTCCAAGTGATGTCATCCTTCAGGCCCTCCTGGATGAGCCTGGTATTGAGGTAAAAAAAGAGTTGGTTTCGGCTTAATGTTGGATATTTTGTTCCTTGAAAGTTTTAGGATTTTTCTCCCTAGGTCAGAGCTACTTTGGACATTAAGTATGTCACTCGCATGTCAATAGTCAGATTGCTGTTTTCTGACACGTACCCCTTACTAATTTGTTCATTGCTTTCATGCTATAGCCCATGGGATTAAGCATAAATAATCGCATATTTAAATTTCAGAGATGGCCAAACCTAGGTTTCGATAATCTGTATTTTTTCGATTTGTGTAATTTCTACAGTTCACAAGGCCTATTGTCTAGCTTCTTTTGGCTGTGGAGCTTGTATAGCGCAGGCCATATTTCTCTTGCTGTCTCAAATCTCAATAACGCATTTAACTGGGTCATTCTCTTTCGCCCTTCTTTTAGGGAGGTAACATGGTAGATTCTAAGGAACGAGTAGAGCCAGAGGTCTTACGTGTGCGAGCCTATGGATCTTCATTTTTCACACTCGGGATAAATATAAGGTATAATATTTTCATCTTTGTATAGGGAAAGATCTTATTTTAGCTGGCTTTTCTCATTATATGTTATGGATTGCAGGACTGGTCGGTTTCTTCTTCAGTCATCCAAGAGTATCTTGACCTCCTCCATCTTGGAGGAATTTGAAGATGCATTAAACCAAGGAAGTATATCTGCAGTTGATGCCTTTATCAACTTGAGAAGCAAAGGCATTTTGCATTTTTTTGCTGCCATTGGCAAATTTTTGGGTCTTGAGGTAGTAATTGTTTGCCTCAGTTTGTTTTTCAAATTCAATTTGGAGCTGGGAGTGTTGACTTTGCGTTTAATGCAGGTCTACGAACATGGTTTTGGTATAAACAAAGTTCCTAAAAGCCTCTTGGATGGGTCAAGCATTCTGACTTTGGGATTTCCTGACTGTGAAAGCTCTCACCTTTTGCTCATGGAGCTCGAAAAAGACTTCACACCATTGTTTAAATTAGTGGAAACTCGGATGGATGGTTCGGGAAAACCTCAGTCTTTCAATGATCCAAGCAATATTTTGCGAGCTAAGAAAATTGATATAGGGCAGATACGGATTCTCGAAGATGATCTTAACTTAAATACATCCGATGTGGTTAAATTTGTATCTTCATCCTCAGATGCTGAGGGTATAAATCAAGTATCTGGACACCGTCATCCTGGATTGGTTGATGATGCTTTGACAGAAATGAGTGGAAGCCAGTTGAGTTTCTCCAGCATTGTAGATGAAGTGTTTGGACTTCAGAAAGAGAGATCGGCTCTTGTGTCAAGTGATGGGCATGGTTTAGTTCCCAAGAATCTCTCTGCTGTTAACGGCCCTGGAAAAGCTCCAATGTTGACTAGCTACCATTCAGATTCCTTGTATAATCTACAGGGTCCCTTACAATCCAGCTCTTATAATATGTTATCATCTCCCCCTGGGATGGGTTCAGCTATGAAGAAGATAGCCATCTCTAACTCTGACCAGGAGTTATCCATGATACTGTCTCCATCCCTCTCTGCTGGGAACGGAGTCTCTGAGTCAGGCTCTAGAATGGTCACTGAATCCTCATTGTCAGCTCTTCCTCTATGTAAGAACATTTTTCTATAGCCTTTTTTTTACCTTCATAGGACTTTCTCAATATCAGAATACATAATTTCTGTTATTTGCAGCTCAAACAGCTGATCTTGCAACAACATCTGTTGGTCCTTTGTTGAGAAAAGATCAGAAGCCCCGGAAACGTTCAGCTTCAGATTTACTAAGATTGATCCCATCCCTCCAGGGAATGGAAGGTGTTGCTAGTCCCATTAAGAGAAGAAAAACCTCTGAACTGGTACAGAGTGAATT